CCTGTGTAAGAGGTGATGGGCTCTCTCCCCTAAAGGCCTGAGCTTACAACTCCATCCTGGAGCTGGGGCCCTGGGATGAGGCGAGGATTCACCTCTCTGAAATGTACCCCACTCAGACAAAAGAACCCCAGTACCTTGCAAAAGCAAGTTTGAAACTGTACCTTCTGTGGCAGAGAGACTGTGAGCAGGGTGGGAGGCAAGAAGGCCCTCAGGGTCAGGCCTCTGGCTGCCATCCCCCCAGGATGCCAAAAGAACCATTCAGACAGGCCATGATGCACCCAGCCCGAGAGACCTGCACACTAGGAATGAGCAGGCAAGGGCAGGCGTCTTGCATGTGTCTGTGTGTAGGTCACCTCCACCAGGAAGACACAGCATTTACTCAGGGGTTCACATGTCTAGAGTTGGAGAAGGCCTGCAAGGTGCCTTGGAGCTGCCAGGCTTGGGAACACAGCTGGCTACACCAGGGTCCCACACGCTGCCTGGACAGCGGGTGGGACCATGCACTGAGGTGTGACGATGAGGCGCAGGGACCTGACTCAGCCGCAGCACTCCAGGTCTCTGTCTACCATGTTTGGAATGAAGGGATTTGTATAGCGTCTGCTTATGGAAGATGTGCATCAAAGTAAACTTAGGCATCATTTCCTCCTCCTCCTTCTGCAAGCTGGCAGGGGCCCTGCTCCACCTAGACAGGGTTTCTAAGGACCTCTGGTCCCAAGCCACTTCAGGCAGCAGGGGCGTGTGGAGCCTCATTAAAGGCAGGGCTGTTAACTTGGGGTGAGGTGCTGCTGACATCAGCACAGGCTGCCCCCAAGGCTTTGGGGCAGGGACTCCACCCCCACCTGCTCCCAGCTGGAACAGAGGCTTCCCCCCATTGAGCATTCTGTGACCTGTGCCCAGGAAACCGGGGTTCTCTGAGAGGGACTTGGGAATTGCTGGGTGGGGACTAAAGCAGGTGCTCCTCTGGGGGCAGAGGCAGACCATCTGAGAGGACGCTAGAGCTCAGGCTCCAAGGGCCTGTGGGGTGCAAGACACTTCAGGACACTCCAGGAGCGGGGTGTGGAGGCCAGCTCACAGCTGTGAGTACCTGGGTGGGAGGAATAGGAGCATTGGAACCACGCCCTGCCAGCCAGGGCGGAACTGGAAGGGTGCAAAGCTGAGATGCCTCCTCCTCTTCCTCTTCAGCTTGCCTCTCTGCTCTGTGTGCTCCCTCTCCTGCCATGGCCAATGCCGCAATGCTCCCCTGGGTGGCAGACTCCATGAGGGCAGTCCCCTGCTCTGAGCCCTCCAAGTCCTCATGCTGGACTCCAACATCACATGCTGAGAAAAGCGAATGTCTGCCCCTCAGACCTCCCAAGGGTTTCCCCCATCTAACTGCTTTCTATCCATCTTTCTGTTACATCAGCCCCCAATCAGGTGTTGTTGCTCCACAGAGTGACACAGCCCGTCTGCCATCACTTCTTCCTGGAGCCACCTACAAAATGCACCTCAGTCCACCCCTCCACCAACCTCTCCCCTAAAGCTTCCTAGTGCACCCTCAGAGGTTTGCTACCTAGTGGCCCAACGCACTGGCTTCCTACAGCTCTAAAGAGAGTTCAAACCTCTCCTCCTCATCCCGAGTGCTTCTTCCCCTCCCTGAGTGCAACACTTACTTCGCCACCAGTATTTCCCATCTGTGCTCCATGAGGGGCAGCCACTAAGGTTTGACCTTCCTCTCTAACTTTCTTCAACCACAGGGCATTTGCACTTACTTCTCCCCCTACAACACACACACACACACACACACACACACACACACACACAACTTCTTAGTCTCCAGGGCCAGAAAGGATTTCCATGATCAGCTAAGTCCCCTTTGCTCCCTGCACTTTTTACCTTAAAGGCACTTACTCTATTTGGTAATTGCCTGTTAGTTTGGCAGAAAATCTAGATTGTTTCTATTTCTGCAAGTTGTAAGCACATATTAGCTATGTAGGACATAGTTCTTGAATTGGTATAGCTATTAATTTGATTGGAAATAACTGTGAACTCTCAGTGAGACATGGTGTCATTAGGCCCTTAACCTGTTAAGCTGCCCAACAAGTATACAAGAGTACCCACATTGCACAGAGGTGGGACCTCCTCCAGAAGAGGCCTGGCCTTCCCGCTTCCCTTCCTAAGTAACGAGCTCCCATTCTGTCATCTGCTACCCCACAAGGACCCGAAGATAGCTGGTCCCCTCACTGAGGTCGGGCTGAGGAAGCTGCGTAACCCCACTGAGCACTTTGTCAGAGCCTTGTCACTGCTGAGTACATTGGGGGGGTCAGGGGTCAGCAGGACAGGCTTCCAGGCATCCCATATGACCTCTGCCTCATGGTCCCTTCATAGGGAATTCTCAGCCCTGTCCACATGCAGATGTAGAGCCAGGGTCTCAGGATAACAAAGATCCTGCCTACAGCATGGAGCTTAGGTGTGGGGGGGTCCTATCGCTTCTCCTCCTTGCATGCCCAGATTCAAGTACAGTAGTGCCTGGCAGGCTCCCCAGCTTAGGAGCTTTGAACTGCAATCCTCAGATTCTAGTAGCTGGGATTAAAGGCATGAGGTACCAGCACCTGGCTAAAGACCTGCCTTTCTTTTAGAGACACTGTCAGGTATTTCTAAACTCTTGTTCTTCTGAAGGAAAAGCGAAAAAGCTACATGTGACTGATGTCTCCCTGAGCATTGGACATAATTTCCCCCTTATTGTGGCAGTCATGGCAAGAATTTTGTGTTGGGACTTCTGACAAAAGGAACCATTAAGATGGCATCTCCCTCCTGGGTCTGCTCCTCAGCTATTGTGTGTCTGGCTCAGGCCTTAAATCTCTGGACAGCATTTCTTGGACTAGCAGCATCAGGCTCACTAGAAACTTGTTAATGTGTAAAATGTCGACCCTAGAACCACTGTCCGAAAATCATGCGGTGGCTGAGTAACCTGAATCCTCCATGTGATTCTAATGCCACAGAAGTCTGAAAATCTGTGCCTCTGAAGTCTGAAACCTCTGCCTGTCCACTGGTCAGATAATGATGTCCAGTGGCCAAGAGGCTATGCATTTCCTCTGATTCCTACTCCATTCTGGGAGATCTCAGCAGGTGTAGCCATCAAAGAAGAGAGAGTTCACTTTTGCTGAGCACCTAGGAGACTTAGGCGCTCTCTGGCTCTCTTCTTCCCTAGCAAAACAACCATCCAGCATTAAAGATGCAGCTTTCGAAATGTACTCTTATGTAACAGTCACCCCTCTGCACATTACCTTTATAATAACAACTAAGAAAATAATAAGATGCACAAGTGGTATGCAACCCAGTCAAGAGTCCAGGGCTTTTTTTTGTCCCAGCAAGGAACCTTCTGGGCCATGACACTGCCCTGGTTTTCCACCCTGGCCTGGCTGTTCTAAGGAGAGGCAGGTGCTGGAGGGGTGAGGAGACATACCAGGACCCTCTGGGCATGAGCTGCTCACCAGGACCCCCTGGGCAATGTGTTACTCTCCAGGACCCCAGCTATGCTCTTTTCTCCAGGACCCCCCAGGCATGCACTGCTCACCAGGACACCCTGGGCATGCTCTACTCACCAGGAACAGCTGTCAGTGGCGGGACTTGGGTGAGGGGTGCAAGCTTAGGCAGAGGTGACCTGGGACTTGGGCAAGGGGTGAGGGCTTAGGCAGAGGTGAGCAAAGCTAGCTGAACAAGTGCTCAGCCCTGTACCACACCTGAACCCACATGTGGCACATCGTGGTGCTTTATCTTCCCTTGTAAAATGGAAATAGTTGAAATTATATTTACTTTGATCAAGATGTGTTGTTCTTTTAAATTGACATGTTGAACTGAAACCCCATTGTGGGACTACATAAAGATAACCTTTAAAAAAATAAAATTATATTTTGCAACTGCATTCATATGAAGATGAATATCATCCAGACTAACTTTGTTACTATTACACAAGTTTTTTTTTCTTTTTTTAACTTGTGAGGTTAAATTAAAATGGAAGATTTCGTGGGCCCATAAAAACAGTGGTTTTGGCGCTGTGGCTTTAAGTGTGCTATCCTTGAGCGCAAAAGCTGAGGGACAGCACCCAGACCTTGAGTTCAAGCCCCATGACTGACAAAATAAAAAACAAGCACAAGCCTTGGGCTGAGGGAGAAGTCAGAATGTGTGCACTGGAAAGGCCTCCCTCCTGCAGCTACCCAAAGGGATCCCCGGACCCCAATTTTCCTGTCTGCAGAAAGCTGCTCTCCTATGTATGAGTGGCCTTTCTCCACTCACCTCCTGTCTGAAAGAACACACCTGAGCAGGGAGGGAGGGGGGCGAGAATCAGGTGGCCAGACTCAGTTTCATCTACTGTGCTCCCACAGCCTGTTTCCTCAACTGCCAAATCACAGGGCTCTGCGCACAGACCAGCGCTGAAGTTCCCAGGTAGAAGGAAGGAGCCGCCCTCCCCGCGGAGCACTGGAGCTAGTCCTGGCTTCTGGGATGGAGATGAACCTGCCTGTGGTTTCTGAACGCACTCACGGGGTGGAGGGGGTGGGATCGCCACCTTCTCCCAGAGAACGCGGGGTGTCTATCGGATCCGGTCTTCTGGGCACAGGCAAGCCCTGCAAGAAGAGAGGGGGTTGCTTCCCAGGGGCTCCAGGCCAAGTCCTTGCACAGCAGGTGTGCGCGCACGTGGTGTGTGTGTGTGTGTGTGTGTGTGTGTGCGCGCGCGAGCGCGCGCGCGCGCGCGCACGCGCTCGCGTTTGTGCCGGGTCCCATGCGTGGCCAGGGCCTGGGGTGGGGAGACAGGGTGCTGGATGGGTCCTTGGGGCCTTGTACGTGCGGGAGGCAGGGCACTGGGGCCGCGTAGGCCGTCCCGGGCGGACAGCCAGGCAGGGGGGCGCGGGGCTTGGGCTGCGGGGCGGGGCGCGGGGCGGGGCGCGGGGCGCGGGGCCCTGGGCGCGGGGTGGAGCGCCCCAGCTGGGCTTGGCGCGGGGCTGGCGCGGGCGCCCGGCAGCACCATGCTCGGCGTCGTGCACTTCCTCCGGAGTTTCTTCAAGGTGAGAGCCACAGCCCGAGACCCCCGCGAAGGTAGCTCGGGATGCTCCCCGCACCCGGCGCGGGGAGGGGAGCCGGCGGCGCCCGCCGCCGCGCCCCAGGCTTCCGCGGGGTCCGTCCCGGAGGGGAAGTACCGGGCGTTCTACTCAGTTGCTCCAAGTTTGTGTTGGCAGGAAAGGGGGGCGCGGCGTCGGGGGCGGGCTGGACGGCGCCCTGGCGAGGTCCCCGCCTGCCCGGCGGGGCTGGAGGGACACGGGGCCGGGAGCTGCGGGGGTGGGGGGCCGCCGGTGCCCGGTCCGGGGTGCTGGGCCGGGAGCTGCAGGGGTGGGTGGCCGCCTGTGCCCGGCCAGGGGCTACTCAGGAAGTGGTTGCTGTTGTTGTCACCTGGGCTGTGTGCGCCCCAGGGAGAGGCTGGGCTGGGGCCCATTTTGAGGAATGAGTGTCCACTGAGGCCAGTAAACGCGAACTCCGCCATGGGGCCGGCTCCAAGGCAGAGGCCGTGCCCCAGCCATGGAGGCCACCAACTCACCTGTCCGCACAGGGCACACAAGCTGGGCAGGGCTGCAGGGCCTGGGCGGCAGGGCAGTGAGCTGCAGGTGCCACCCTCCCCCAAGAGAGCAGGACTCTAAAAGATCAAATGCAACAAGAGGCCAGAAAGCATCCTGGACCTCCAGCAGCACAGGCCCAGAGGAGGCCATGTGGCACTGGCCCTGGGCTCTACCAGCCTGTCAAATATTTATTCGGCCTTGGAAGCAGCCAGAGTGTGTATGTCCCAGCCAGGCCCTTACTCCTGGAACCCCAGAAAGGAGTCCCCATGCCCTTTCTTGGCCCTAGAGGTGCAGAGAAGGGTGGGGTAAAGGTCATCTGCCCTGAGAGCTCTCAGAGAAAACTAGGAGCAGTTCAGTGCCCTGTGGAGTCCTTCCTCACCCCCTCTCTATGAATCACCTCAACCTATGGGCAACTAAGGGAACACAGATTCAGGAAGGGAGAGGGAAGGGCTCAGGCCATCCCAGATTGGGGGCCTTCCTAGGTTGGACCCTGAACTACAAAACTCCGTGGAATGGAATCCCAAACAGCATGATTTGGGGGGCAGTCACTTACCTAGCTTGATATTTATGTTCATAGTTAAAAATATGGGTGAACTTTCCACACCTTTCAGGTAATAATCTTATTATGCAACATGTGAATGTTTATAAAGACTGTCTCAGGACCTTGGTGGTGGCAACAGGTTACAGGGTGAGCGGACTGCTGGGAAGGATCTTAGATGGCCCTGCTGGTGTCTGAAGCTCATGAAATAAGTACAATGTGGCTTATATGGTTGTTGTTGGGTGTCCCTGGGCTACCTTCTCACCCACCCACGGACTGAGAAGTTTCTGGGAACTGAGCCTTTGGGAATGCCAAAGAAAAGCCACCGTCACATCCCCACCTGAGGCCTTCTACACTCAGGTCCCCAACACCAGGGGAGCAACCAAGCACTGAGAACCACTTCTGGCCATACAGGTCTTTCTTGTAGAGCCACCTGCAAGTGTAGGTCACAATGGTGTTTCTTTAGACAGTGGTTGTGTGGGAGGTGAAGGAAGTTACCACTAGCCATCACCTCTCAGGGCTTCCTGGACCTGACCACCTGATGATGGCCACTGACTGGGCCCAAGAATGTGCAGTGCCCCTCCCCCCGGGGATCTCAGAATTCCAAAACTATTAGCAAAGGGCCCTAGGTGTGATTTCTGCCAGGATGCTCTGCACAGTGCCCATATCTACCGTGGGCACATCTGGCACTGTGGCATCCTCAGAACATGAAAGCTGTGTGCAGAACCAGGTGCACCAGTGTCATGTATGAGGATACCACATGGGTGAACCACACAGACAGCCCGCACATTCTATGGACCACACAGAGCACATCATCTTTGCAATAACCCAGAAAATGAGCTGGAACAACATATCAAAAAAATACATCCCTAGCACTCCAGAGCTTCATCAGGCATTGTGCAGTGGCCATGGTCCATCATGCTGCTTTAAAGGAAACATCCTAAGATGGCTCAGACAGCGCACATTCCTGTTGCTGATTTGGAGCCTCCACTGAAGTGGGAGGTCCCACTTCTTTCATGGTATTTGTCTAACACCTGTGCCAAAACATCTGGGTAGCATGCTACTTGCTTCCTTCCAGATTTTTACCAGTAGGATACAGATTAGCATGAGGTGCTTTGGGATAGAAAGCCGAGGTCTCTGCTAGCTAAATGATGGCACAAAATCAATGAGCTGATACAAGGCACTAAAGGTCCACAGTGGCCCCTGCTTCTACTGATTCCTGATTGCACACACGCACACATACATAGGCATTCTCATATGTCTACATTCAATGCACAAAGAACTCTTGTGTGCACACAGAAGCATATTTATAATGTTCATATAAATACACACAGTGCTCTTAAACACATGCCTATACAGAAAGTCTCATGCATACACTTGCACACAGAAGCACACAATCAAGTACTCTCAGGTACATAGATGCCCACAGGCACACAAAAGGCATGTGCACACACGCACACACAGACACATGCAGCTGGCACTCTATGTACATTCAGGCACACCCAAGGCAATCCACATCAAAGCAGTATCTTCATACCAGAGCCAAGGATTATAGCAGGTTTGTTACAGGAAGGAGGTCACCTGGTAATGAGAAAAGCGGACTACTGAGCCTAGGGGAGTCCACTGGCTTTCTCAAGGACCATGGTGTCCACACACTGAGCTTCCAAGTTAAATAGAGATGTCAAAGACCTCTCTGCTAGGTTGATAGCGATTTCTTAGTCATTGAGGATGAAGTCTTCCTCATGAGTCAGTAGGTCGGAGTGGAGAGGATGTTCTAGAGACTTCCAGTTAGGCTTTCTTACCAAAGAGACCTTCCCATTATGGAGCAGGGGACAGGGAGGAGTTCTGCCTGTTTCTGAACATGTCTTTGTTATCTGAACACTCAGAAACGTGGGAAACTGGCACAGGATATGTTTAGGGTTTTAGTGGCTGTCATGAGGTATACACAGAGCCTGGTTTAACACCTGATGTGCCTCCACCTCCAGTCAGCTCTCATTCCTGGTGGTGAATTTTGGTGACCACTTTAACCTTAGTCCCCAGGAACTGATGTTAGCTCAGAGCCAGTGTTGGTAATTTATGAAAGAACTTGATACTTTTGCATAGGAGTTTGCGAAGATTCATAACTTATGACTAATATTATTGAAGATGGTCAGCTATGCAGTCAGTTTTCTGTCACTGTAACAATATACCTGAGACAGTTAACTTACAAGAAGAGGAGGTTTGTTTTTGACCAATGCTTTTGGAGGTTCCAATGCATGATCATTTGTCTCTGTTACTTTTGGGCCCAGGGAAACACAGGAGCCATGGCAGGAGTACATGGTGGATCAAGGCTGCTGTCTTCATGGCAGCCTTGAGAGACTGGGCCATACCATGCCCTTTGAAGGCTTGTACCCAATGACCTAAAGCTATCTTCTAATGGTTCTGCATGAGAGCACCAATCTGGGGCTGAGGGGCTTTGGAGGGACACTCCAGACCTAACCTCTTCATTCAAGGAACTGTGGCTCTCTCTAATCAAGTGGGGAATTAGGCAAGGACAAGAGTTTATTCATCAAATATTTAGTGAATAGCTGCTATGTGTCAGGCATTGTTTTCATCATGAGGATGATCTACAAGATCTAGTTGCTTTTTAATATTTTTTCAATATTGCATGTATAAGCGAGGACCACATCACTGTACCTACTAGTTCAGCCCTAGTAGCCCCTAAGTGATCTACCAGTGCCAAATAATGTCACTGTCAGAACATTCTGGTGCTGCTCTGGCTCTGGCACCTGGATGTTATCACTCCTTGTCACAGATCCACATTCCCCCAGGACTCTTCCCACCCATGAGTAAGTCTCTCATAGGGTCTCTGGCTGGTAGAGAATAGCTCTAGTTTACCAAGATGTTGGTGTTCTCCTTGCCCAACTATTTCTTGATGCCTTGAGGCTGGACATGTTTCCTCTAGATCTCCAGGGAATACAGTTAGGGGATGCTGAGAAGCTTGCTCTTCATCAGTCTAAACTCACACAGTATCACTTTAGACATTTGGGCTCCTTCAAGAAATCTTTGGCATTTTCATTTCATCTGATGGATCATCCTCTAGCCAAGGATTCAGAGAATTAGCACATTACATCCTAGGTTATATTCTGGCCGTAGAGGCAGCACCTTGACCCCTGGAGTACATCAACATGGCTACCCCAGGCTTAGCATGTGGCCCTCCATCTTTAGGCAGGCCCTCGGAAGAACCCTGCCCATCTGTTTGTCTACCTTTTGACTAGTGTATTGGGCACAGTCCTAATTTCTTAAAGAGGGAGCTGCTTCCTCCATGGTTTTCTTCTGATTGGTCCCACACCTATGCTGAGGCGAGAAAGGGGCAGGTGTGCAGCATGAAGAAGTAACCTGTGTGCAGGTGTTAACAGGCTTCTGAATGGCCCAGAGAAAGCAGTTCTGTAGGATTGTGACTCTACATCCCGCGCCCCCCCACCCCAGTAGATTTTCACTCCTGAGGAAAGGGGTTCCACTCCCTCCTAAATCATGCCAGAACTTGCATTCAGGATCAAGATCTGCTGACTTCAGACCCACCTGTCCCCACACAGGTAGACTCAGAGGCTTTCTGCAGGCTGAAGAGAAACTTTCTGTACAGTCATAGACCCCACTGCCTGAGAGTTGATATTCAGGGGCTAAGAACACTTTTTCTTCCCTCTCTTTAACCTGGCAGGGCAATTAGAAACAAAAAGCTCCTACCACCACCCTTGGATTCCTCATGTTTTATGTTCAAGGTTTTGTAGTTGGAGCCAGTTTTTCCAAGTAGACACTTGACTATGATTGATGACTTGATCAGAGGCTGGCCCTGCACACACGGGATGCTCAAATTCCATTTCTTACAATAGTTAATATATTGCCACTGTCTTCAGCTTCAACCAAGTAAAATAATCAGCGCCAGCCTGGAGCCACCCTTTCCTAACAATCTCTTCGTGAAGGATCTTGGTCAAGCAAACAAACAAAACAACTGAGAAGGCCTCCAGGCTCCCGTTAGGTGATGTTTTTGGCAGAATGAAGGGGAGCTTGCAGGCCCAGCTTAAGGCTGAGAGGTTAGTGTGCTCCTTAGCTGCTCCTGCATATATAGGCCCACATTTCTTTCTGACAGCACCACTCGGCTTCTCTTCATACCTGTAAATCTGTCCTCAGAGGCCACAGCCCTTGATGGGGAATAGAAGAGGGAGGAGCAATGGAACAAATTCGTCCTTTCTCTCTCTTCAAGATGGGTGAGGCCCAGCTGCTCAGTTATTTCGGTCTTCCCTCATTCAGGACTATTACTTGGGCTGCAGAGCAACAGATGCCTATGCACAACTGGCAGAGAAGGAAAAGTCCTACCAGGACCCCTTCAGTTTCTTATCCTTGTTGGCAGAGAGAGGTTCTAGACCCCAGGTCCTGGAGCATTTGTTGGTAAAAGTGAGGTCATCCACATGTTTGAACTCTTCTGGGCAAAGGTTGTGCTAGGAATCTGAGATCTGATTCATGGTCCTGAACCATGAAGAGTTTGTGTTCTAGAATCCTAGAGAGGTCATTGTTCCCAAGCATCAGAGGCAGGGAGAGCCAGAGCATAGGGCCAGCTCCTGCCAAGGGCTCTGCATATCTCCTGGCCATGTCTTCTGCCACTCTGGACTTGGTGATTCTTGGCTCTTTTGCTGTTCAGAAGCTCTGGGGTTTCATCTGCTCTACCCTGCCCAGCCTCAGCGAACGCAGAGGCCAAATGCCTGGGATATGGTCCCACTTGGGCAATGGTGGCAGGCCCTCCTCTGCTCCCTCATCTCAGCTGATGCAGCGTCTTCCCTGACTGACCATTCATCCATCTGCTCAATGGAATTTTCTCAGGCACCTTGGTAACCTGGACAGTGGCTGTACTTCTGAAGGCCCTGAAGAGTCCCTAATACAGAGTGCCTGACCTGGCCACGTAAGTGTAGTGATTCTGGAGATGTTCCTTCCTGAAATTTTCTCTTTAAACATGATACAGTCATCTGATTCTCAACAAAGGTGCCAAAAATGGTGTTGGAAAAGCTTATTAACCAATGTATAAGACTGAATCTATAATCCGGTCTCTCACCCTGTACATGACCTTAATGCAAGACAGGAAACTTTGAAGCTATGAAGGAATTTGTAAAACACTTTTAGATACCAGTATAGGCAATGACATTTGGAATAGAATCTCAATAGCTCAAGAAATAACAGTAAGGAAGGGGAAACAAAGGAGGAGATTACAATGCTTGATAAGAAATGTACTCATTATCTTGCCCATGTAGTTGTAACCCCTCTGTATAGTATTTTCACAATAAAAAAAAGATTAAAAAAAGAAGAAAAAAGGAGAAATAACAGTAAGAACTGAGAAATGGAATTGCATCAAATCAAAACGTTTCTGCACAGCCAAAGAAATAATCACCAGAGTAAAGAAGCGCCACAGAATGGGAAAGGATCGTTGCAGGTCGTCACTTGACAAGGGATGAAAATACACATATATAAAGAACTCAAAAAAATAAACCACCAAAAGAACTAATCTAACTAATAAATGGGAGTATAAATTGAACACATAGTTCTCAAATGTATAAATATAAATAATGAAAAAATGGTCAACCTGCTTAGGCATGAAGGAAATTAAGTCAAAACTACACTGAAATGCCATCTCCAGTCAAAATGCCTATCATAAACACAAATGCTGGTGAGGACAGGAGGAGAGGGAAAGGAACGCTTATACACTGTTAGTAGAAATATTAATTGGCCCACTCACTATGGAAATCATCTGGTGGTTACTAGAAAATAACAACAACAAAAACAAACTAAAAGCTATCATATGATCCAGCTATACTACCTCAGGGTATTTATCCCCCCAAATCAGAGCTTACCAAACAGATACCCATATCTCCATGTTTATCACAGCACTATTCACAACAATCTATGGAATTAGCCTTCATGCCTATCAATAGATGAACGTGTAAAGAAAATGTAGTGTATATGCACACACTGAAGTAATATCATTTGCAGGAAAATGAGTCAACTTAAAGATTATCATGTTAAACAATATAAGGAACACCTAGAAGATAATATCACATGTTTTCCTTTACATGTAGAATTTAGATCTTATGAGAGGGCATGAACATAAAAGAGAGCCATTTGGGGGGGGGAAGGATTGAGGAAGAGGAAGAGGAGGAGGGAAAGAGCAGGTGATGGAGGTGGGTGAATGTGAGCAAAATGTATACAGGAAAGAAAATATCAAAAGTATTAAAAATTAAACAAGAAGAGGATCGGGAAAGAAGAAAAATAATTGGGGAGGGGATGCATCTCATCGAACTATATTATACACATGAATGAAAATATTACAAGGAAACTCCTTTTATGACTAATACATGCTAATAAATATAAAATGTGTAATGGAAATAACACATATAAAATAATGATTGTACCAATTCAAAATTTAGCCAGTCCATACTGAAGTAGATTCTTGGACATTTATTTTTATTGTTATTTTAGAAGGTATATACTATATGTAAATGTATTTTTTCTTTTGGGTACCTCTAATTGCATAATTTAAAAATCAGCCAACTAGCATACATAGCAAGTGGAATCAAAGGATTTAGAGAAATCCTTCCTTGTTCTTGTGCACTTGACCCCTCAAGTGGTAACAACCTGAGGGCCACAGAGGAGCTGTGAAGCTGCCATTGATTCTGTGTCTGTGTCTCCCTGACCTGAGCAACACCTTGCAAAGAGGCAGGTGTCTGATTTGTCTTGACATCTAGGATGTGGATAGTCAGTGGCCAGTGTTCCTGCTTAAATAATAGAAGACCATCCACAAGCAGTGCTAGTATCAAGTGTGTGGACTGCTCCCTAGAGGCCTGGCCAGTGTGGCCAGGGCTCTGCCTGCACCTGCTTGTCTTGCTGCGGCTCTTCCCTGCATCGGATGTACATCACAGTGGGGCAGCTGGTCAAGGCAGTTGCTCCTGGCTCCCAGGTGCCTCTATGGGCAGCCATCATTAGTTCAGGACCTCTCTCTTCTGGGGCCTCTCTGAACAAAGGAGAACCGGAGGTCAGACCATCAGCCCTGATGGCCCTGATGTAAGGAAGGCAAGGAGGGGCACTTCCCACCCTGCCCCCTGGGCACAACTGTGTTAACTAGATGCAAATACCGATGAGTCTTGGCAGTAAACCCCTGTAAGTCCCTTCCCACCTCAGCTAGTTCAGAATGCCATGGGCATCAGCCATGTTTGTACCGAACAGGTTGAGTTTTCGCTGGAAGCACTAGCTGTTTGTGTTGTAAAGCTTGCCTGTGCTTGGAACATGGTGGTCTGGGAATAATGCATAGGGCTGGAAGCTGCACTTCCCATGGCCGGTTATGTTAGTGATGGCCCCAAGGTCCTGTGCTCTTCCAGGGAGCAGTGCTCAGCCTTTATGCAATCCCTTTACCCTCAGGGGAGTGGGGAAACTAAATAAGATAATGCAATCAAGGGAGGGCATGCTCATTGCCATGCACAGAGAAGCACCTTTCCATCCCGTCGCATTGATTTTCCTCACAACTTGTGGAGTTCAGTGGAAACTGTCACTAACACTTGGCCATGGAGACATTGCTCACAACTGGTATGGCTCTAGTGTGTGTTTTTAGTGGGGGAGTATGGATGTGGGGCTGGTGCAGGATCAGGAGCCTACAGGTGGGGTTTTCCTCCCTTGAAGACCGAGGCTCTGAACTGAGGCTGGAAGCAACTCAGAGGTAGCCTATCCACAGTATGGAGTGTTGCTGGGTGGCAGGAAGGAATGTAGTTACACATGCCAGCCAAAGCAGAGCTCCAGGGAGTCAGTCCCTGAGACCAGCAGACCCTGGACCATTAGACTGCACAGTAGTCAAAAGTTCTCTGTAATCTACCCAGTGGCAGGACACAGGCAGATAACATAAGAGGGCAAAGGGTGGGAGCTAGAGATCCCTTTCTTGCAAGATATATGGTGATGGTTTCTTGATGTGTACACATATCAAACCATCAGGCTGTGCTTTCTGGCATTCAGTTTATTGCCTGTTACTGATGCCTTGACATGTCAGGCCTGTCTCTGGCCACCAACAGGCCTAGCCTGAGATCTATGGGCCAGAGACCTTTCAGAGAACCTCCACTTCCTAACAGCACTCTGTTTTCCTCACCCCGCCTTTGTCCTGGAACCAGGACATTCATGGACAGCAGCCGACAGCAGAATGGAAGCCCAGTCTCAATTGGAGCAAGTTATTCCAGCTTTGGCAACTGAGTGCCTGAGGGAGGTGTCTTTAAACCAAGCACTTCCATGTGTCATCCCTGGGACCATCATTGTGAAAGTGGTGGGGAATGTGCCCTTATCCATGATCGACCAGTGTCACATAGGGCCGGGCTTCCAAGAGCCACTAGTAAGCTGAGAGTCAGGGCAGGGACGCTGGATATCAGGGCCCTCAGCCCTCCTATCTGTAAAATGGAGGTGACAGTGGTTCATCTCTGTAAGACAGCAATGAAAGTTAAATGTACCAGTTTTGTAGAAGGTCATTTCTTTTCTTTTTTCTTTTTTTGTCAGTTGTGGGGCTTGAACTCTGGGTCTGGGTGCTGTCCCTCAGCTCTTCAGCTAAAGGATAGCGCTCTACCACTTGAGCCACAGCGCCACTTCTGGCCTTTTCTGTTTATGTGGTGCTGAGGAATCGAAGCCAGGGGCTCATGCATGCCAGGCAAGCACTCTGCCACTGAGCCACATCTCCAGCCAGTGGAAGGTCATTTCTTATCTGACAAGCTTGAGTGCTCTCTAGCTCACCACCAGCTTTTCCACTTCCCTATGTGGCTAGCCCAAAGGGGACATGCCCAAGGCAGGAGCACATGGGGTGCTCTGTTCCCCAAAGTCTGCCCTGCCCCTTCTCTGGGTGTGAATTCTGGAATGTGTAGTGTGTTGAGTGAGTAGTCACAGATGGCAGATTGGCTTAGAGAAGGTATGGCCTCTACAGGAACACAGGATGGCTGAGAAGGCCACTCATTGTGAGGCTATGGCGCCTCTGTCCTTTTTGTCCTCAGGACGGGGTGGTGGTCATGCCTTCCCCACCGCCCTGCTAAGAACTGGGCCCAAGTGAGGCCTCGGGAAGGTGTGGGTAGGGACCAAGCTTCTGGGCAGGGGCTTCAGGCTGTGGGGTTGAGGTGGTCACAGTTGAATGGAGACTGAGGTGCAAGGAAGCCAGGAGGAGGTGGGGAGGGGGAGCTTTTCAGCAGGAAGGAGAGGGAAGGTCACTGGAGGACACAGGGACGCGGGGAGGCAGGAGGAGGCTGCAGGCTCTTGTCATTGCGGGGAAGTGGAGAGGCACAGTTGACCTTCTGTCTCCTTGGGGGACTCAGCATTTGGGACTCACCACTCCTGCACCTCCACAGAGACCAGCTCCAGGGAGCTCAGGTCTTTTAGGTAAGGTGGCGTAATCTCTGCATAGAGCCTGCCACCTCTCCATCCTCTGTAGTTGACTTGCAGTATCTACCACCATGTAAGCATGGTAGAAATCGTCAGTTCACTAGTTAGAGGATAATGACAAGAAAAAGTCTTTACATACTTAGTACAGGTTTAATCCTTTTCGTATAGCTTTGAGCTGGGCACTGGTGGCTCATGCCTGCCATCCTAGCTACTCAGAAACAGTGACAGGATGACAGGAAGATGGTATGGAGCTGAGTGGGAGTGCCAGTCTCACCCACTGCTGTATAGTGGTACCCCATGCCAAGCACACTTTTCAGCCTAGACTTAGTCTTCTCACTTGCTTCCCAGGGATCACTCTGACTGCGTGAGCTCCAGATCAGAGCGAAGGAAGGAGTCTCCACAGGCATTCCTCCACATTCATTCATGGGCAGCCTTCCTGTGCCCTTGTCAGGTGGACCAGTCCTGGTCCACTCATGTTACAGGTGCTGTGCCTTTGCTGGCCTGGTTTGCCCTTCCAGCAACACACGTGACAAGCTGCACATGGCTCTGGCATCTGGGTGCATCTATTTCTAGGAGCAGCCACTTTTGTTTTTGTCTTTGGCTCTCCCCAGGGTCTGTGACACAGTCTATTCTACAGAGGGAGGGGGCTTGGTTAGAGAGCAGTGCACAGGAGAAGCACCTGCATTTTTTCTAGTTCTGTGAGAAGGCCACACAGGCCCCAGCAGGAACCCAGGAACAAGGAGGCCATGGGGATCAGCAGGTGGACTGGAGAGCATTGTCCACAAGAGATGAAATAGTGGTCTCCGTTTGTCTTGAAGGACACACAGAGAAAGCCAGGGTATCAGGGCAGCCGGATGTGAATCCTGGCCTTACCTGTAGCTGTGTAGCTGTGTAGAATGGAAGTCGCAGTCCTCCCGCATATCAGAGAGAATATCTTCTGCTCTGCGTATTTCTCAGGGTCAGTGAGAAGATGGAATCTGATGATGTGTATAGAAATAACTTGAGAAGGAAAGAAATATGTCCAAATCAATAGAAAGCTCTCACGTGCAATAGAATAGAATAGCTAGAATAGAATAGAATAGAATAGCTAGAATCCTAGCTACTTAAGAGGCTGAGATCTGAGCATCGAGGTTTAAAGTCAGTCCTGGTGGCAAAGTCCATAAACTCTTATCTCCAATTCACAAACAAAGTGCTAGAAAAGGAGGTGTTGCTCAAGAGGTAGCGGGCTAGCCATGAATGAAAAGCCAAGTGGGAGTGCATGGTCTTGAGTTTGAGCAATGCACATGCAGATGTGTGTGCACGCATGTGCACACACAAGATATAGCATAACCATATAAAATGAGTAAAAAATAATAGAATGTTTAGTAACATGAGAAAATGTCCACAATCCAGATGTATGTAAGTTAAGCATATAGACATGCATTTAATATCATACTCAGTGCGCAGTGGATTCCCCTCATGATCACAGCGATGTCTACATACTGCAGCTCACTGCACAACAGCAGAAGAGCGCATTGTTTTGCATATTACTAACCCAGGAAAAGACCCAAATTCAGAACTGGAAATGCAGCTGCTACTGTACACATGCTGCATCCTTGTGTTAATGATGAAGAAAAGATAAGCCAGCCTAAGCCAGTGATTGTCCATATGCTGTTAGGCTAAACAACACAACAAGCATGTATGGTATGAGCTGTAATTCCATACTTAAACTGTACACACTAAAGTACAGGTACATTAATGTATTGTCAATATGGGTCAGGTCCTGCTCCGGGTGCTAGAGGGTCTTGGGTACCACAGGCTGAACATGCTGCCATTTGCTCTGGCAGAGATGGCAACAGTACACATTCATCCCGTAGAAGGAGGGATGAACCCAGGTCACACCCTAAGCACTATCTCCACCTAGGAAATGGGATGGGACCCCTAGGGAGGCTGGGGCAGACCCCAGCATAGGTGTGGCCAAGAAGACAGAGCTCCTACTCCACACACTCCCACACTTCAACTAGGGCGGGGATGGATCATGGGGTCTCATCTCTCCAGCTCCATCTTGCAGAAATGCCATTGCTGGCAGGCACTGTTAAGAAGTCAGAGTTCCCCTTCCACACTCAGCCCCAGACACAGAGTGCAGGCTAGTATAAACACATCAGGCAAGAATCCTGGGGTCTTTATTGCCCCCCAATATTTCCATGCCAAACAGTGCTCACCAGTTCAATAGGGATGTCACTGATATAAACAACCCTTAAAATTAAATTATGAGGCTGGGAATGTGGCTTAGTGGTAGAGTGCTTGACCAACATGCATGAAGCCTTAGGTTCGATTCCTCAGTACCAAATAAACAACAACAAAAAGCCAGAAGTGGCTCAAGTGGTAGAGTGCTAGCCTTGAGCAAAAGAAGTTCAGGGACAATGCTCAGGCTCTAAGTTCAAGCCCCAGGACCAGCAAAAATATTTAACTATCAAAAACACAATAAAAAAATAAAACTGGGCAAAGAAATGTATCTAGACACTTATCCAGAGAGGTTATAACTGTGACCAACAACACAAAAACACTCCACTAATTATTAGGGAAACACAAAAGTATGTGAAATGCCACTCATACCCACTAGCATGACTGTAATAAAATATAAACTATCCACAAGCAAGTATTGGTGAGGATACAGAGAAATTAGT